CCCCTCTGCCTATCTGTGCCTCTCACTCGCTCTCTTGTTTACCCCACTGCTATGCCCTTTCACTCCCCTGTCTTTCCCTTTGCTCTCCCCTGTCTTTCCCTTCCCTCCCTTAATCTGAGAGAGAGAGAGAGAGGCTGCAGATTGAATCAATGATTGAGAGAGTGGAGGAGAGTGGGGGAGCCGGTGAGATTCAGGGGAGAGTGTTGGTTGGTCATTGCTCGGAGCATTAGTGTCAGCTCAGATTTGTTTAGGAGGAGCCGTGCAGTCAGAGCAGAGCTGCAGACAGCATCAGAAGCTCTTACGGTTCATGTCATTACCCAGGCACTCTCCATGCCTCCACCAGCTCTCATCATGCATGGGCATGTGTGGCGTTTGTTTGAAAAGGATAAAACACATCCTGGAATGTTTGAAGTAACTAAGTACATTTACTAAGGTACTGTTCTTTAAGTTTTTTCTTTTTTTTTCTTTGACCATTAACAACACTAGAAACTCTGAAATGATAGGTATATTAGCAGTGGTGTAAAGTAACTAAGTACATTTACTCAAAATGTAATTTTTTTTTCTTTGACCATTAACAACACTAGAAACTCTGAAATGATAGGTATATTAGCAGTGGTGTAAAGTAACTAAGTACATTTACTCAAGTACTGTACAGTACTAAAATACAATTTTGAAGGACTTGTACTTTACTTGAATATGTGGTATTTCTGTACTTCTTCCACCACGGCTAGAATGTAGATATGACCATCAACAAATCAGCTGATGATGCCTATTTTAGTAGAAAAATACACTTGTTTAATCAAAGTGTGAGTGGCACCGGAGGATGCACTCAGTGCTGCAGCCTCTGTGGGCAGGATCAGTCAGACAGTCATTACTGGAGATAATAAATTATTCATACGACTTCCACAAATGCCATAACTTCTTTGTTATTCATCATGCAATGTGGCTTTGCTACGGGGATACATACTTTTCTTTTTGAATTGTCTAACATTTGTAATTGAGGTTTTATTCAAATCACTTTTCCATGCTATTTAGTCATGTGCAAACATTCTACTATGCGTACAAACACATTCACTACTGGAGTATTTTATTCTTCCCTCTTTGCTTCTCTTTTGTTCTCCCTTTTTGCCAAATCCTCTCAAACCCTTCCTTCCTCACACACTCCCCTAACAGAGGACAGTACTCAGTTGCTCATCTCCACAGATGCCTCTTTCAGCACAGTCACCAATGGTATGTGAGCATACAGTTGTCTGCCTGCCCCACTCCTCCCCAGCCAATGAATGGACCCCAGCACACAGTGCAGTGAGAGTGACCTATGATGGACTCATACATATGTCTCTCAGTCTCTTGACCCAGTATATGAAGATGTGTGTACCTTTATTCATCTTCCCTTTAGTATTGTTTCTTTGTGGTTTTCCAAAAGTGTGTCTGTCAGAAATATGAACTGTTGGTGACTCCTTACATGTGAACACTTCACTTTTCATACATATGTCCCTCCATTCCCTTTAAATGTACCTTTCTCTAAATCAACCTCCCTTTCTCACAGGAAAACAACCTGATGGAGCTGTGGAGAACAATCAGAACAAAGGTGTGTGTGTGTGTGTGTGTGTGTGTGTGTGTGTGTGTGTGTGTGTGTGTGTGTGTGTGTGTGTGTGTGTGTGTGTGTGTGTGTGTGTGTGAACGCTGAATTCAAACATGGGATGATCTTATTTCATCTGCAGGAAGAGATGAAAAAAAGTGTGTAAGTGTATTTTTCTGTGTGTTTCAGCCAAGAAGCAGGATGGGGGTGTTGCCATGGAGATGCAACCCCTGAAGAGTGCAGAGGGAGGGGAGGTGGAAGACAGAGAGAAGAAGAAGACCAGCGTTCCAAAGAAGGAGAAGAGTGTGTTGCAGGGCAAGCTCACCAAGCTCGCTGTTCAAATTGGCAAAGCAGGTAAAGAAGCGTCTTTCCGGACCTCATCAGGTTTCAGCAGGCGTAGGGAACGCTCTACTTCATGAACACAGTCCATTCTGTAGCTGTCCCGCAGAGCTCCTGGTGCAATGACGCAGAGAAGGCAAAGACATTGTTTATTCTTAAACTTGATGCCAATATATTTTTGCTATTTGTTTTTAAACTATCTTGCAAACATTTTGCAAAACCTTAACTTCTATATGCACCAAGCTTTGCTGTTTCATTGTTATCCACAGCATTTTCTGAAGGTCCTTCCTGAGGGCAGAGTTTTTACAAAAAACATGGCAATCCCTTAATTACCAAAAAGATATTTAGTAGTTCACTGTATTTTCGGACTTGTAAACTGATATAAAAAGATTATGAAGACACACTCATTAATCTTATTTGACTCTAATATGTCCACAAATCGAACAAGAATTTTAAACCTGGCTTTATCCAATGTACCGGTACATGTTCTGTTCTGAACATGATATATGCACATATTAAATAAGAAATTACCTCATTAACATATTTAAACATTAAACAATGTTTAGATTCATACTTAGAGTGATATGTTATAAAATGTGTGTAAAAGATGATATTCTCAAGTGCTGTGCTGGAATGTGATCACACAGATTATTGTTAAACACGGCTTTGAATCTCCCCACAGGTTTGGTGATGTCGGCCATCACCGTCATCATCCTGGTGCTGTACTTCGTCATCAACACGTTTGTTGTTGAAGGTCTGTGTAGAACAACTTCTCCAAATGCACCCCTCTCACGTCTTCCACTGTGCTGAGTATAATTACAGTTGTTATTTTGCCACAATAATTATTCATGGTGTGCGTCGCAGGTCAATCCTGGTTGGCAGAGTGTACTCCGCTGTACGTGCAGTACTTCGTCAAGTTCTTCATCATCGGTGTCACCGTGCTGGTGGTGGCTGTCCCAGAAGGCTTACCTCTGGCTGTGACCATCTCTCTGGCTTACTCTGTCAAGGTACACACACACACCTGCTTGATGGGGAAAAGAAAATGTGCATGTTATCTTAGATTCATTAAATTAACAATTTCACACTCTACTGATAGCATTTTCAATCATTTTAAACCCAATTATATTATACTTAAATGATGATAACAACAGACTTCAAGCTAAACCTTCTCATTCACAAATGATATTCAAAAACAGAAGGAGCCTGAATTTATATTTCAAATAAAAAGATGAGGCTATTTATCATGCCGAATATATTTAAATATGCCAATGCCAAAACAAATGATATATATGTTGCCAATTCTGATATGAAAAGCATAGTGTAGTGATGTGTGGAGGCAGATCAGGGTTTTTAATACATGCACCTACCTGACATGCTTTATCTGCACTGTCCAAATGTACAAGATCTGCTTAAAACAAGCTTAATAACCCCATCTCATTTATGAATGCAGCTTCATATAAGAAAGAGCGTGTTATTTTCACTCTACCTGTTGGACTTCTTGCCTCTAACGTCAAAAGGGGCTCTTTGATTGGTAGATATGAAATGATTGATGGATGCCAGACAGATGCCGAACTTTACATCAAGATCTAATTCAAGCGGTGGTGGATATTACACAATTGATTGAGAAGTACTTCAGTGCTTTTTTTGTCAAACTTGTACTTTACATGAGTATTTTCATTGTATTCTACATATAGTACCACTACATTTCAGAGGGAGATATTGTTATTTAAAAAAAGGACTGTATCTGCCCTTGAACTTTTCACACTTAATTTACCCTGCCCTTTCTGCCTTTGTTCTTCTGCCCCCCCCTCTCTATCCATCACCCCCCCGCCCCCGGCTCCCTATCACCCTCTCACGTGTAGAAAATGATGAAGGACAACAACCTTGTCCGTCACCTGGATGCGTGTGAGACCATGGGGAACGCCACGGCCATCTGCTCCGACAAGACGGGGACCCTCACCACCAACCGCATGACGGTGGTGCAGACCCACATCGGTGAGTGAAACCGACAATTTGGGAATGCTTTTATTTGACAAAATGCGGTCTCGTTTTTGTCCTCAAAATAAATATGTTTTCATAGGTTTTAGGAACATAACATGGCCTATACTTAGTTTAAACAATGAGGTTTTTAGGTTTTTAGGCTAAGTGAACTAAACTCACCTAATACAATCAGGTGTAATCTGTGGACATACTAATTTTTTTTTGTTAGTGTAACTAATTAACAAAATGGGTTCTAATGGGTTCCTTGCTCTGAATAAACTGGAAACCACTGGTCATGTTTAAATCCAGTGTTTGACACATCTTTCCTGACATACAGCTGACGGACTGGAGCAGGGGGCGAGTCACTTTCTTGTGATGTCTTTTGTTCGTACTTGACTAGAATAGTTTTAGCTTGGATAGTTACTTCATGTCTTTAAATACTGACGTTTTGCCTGTGCCAGAACACTCAGTAATATTATGATATCAATTAATATTGTTTAGCAAATTATGCAACATAATTTACATAATTATTAATACATTATTATAAATGAGCATTTATATCATTGATACATTACTATTGTGTTTAATTAACTTTTAATTTACAATTGATCAGTGATGATGAAGTGTTGAAGATATGTTGAAGATATCCAAACTTGATGTCGCTATTGTGGGTCAGGCAAAAAAAGAACACAACTCCATGATCTAAATTCTCCCTTTCAAACACAATGCCCTACTTTCAAATGCACATTTTTTTGTATATTAGATATCAATCTGTAATCATCCTGCATAAACTGATACGGCGTCGATGACATCAGGTTGCTCTTTTATATTTCTGTCAGTAATAAACTTTTCTTGTATACCAAGAACTCAAGACTCAAACCAATAGAGCTAAACTTCATTCCAATAGTAGAAAAGCTGTTTATCTGTAGCTAGCTATTTCCATGTTCATCTCACAAATGAGATGTTTGAACATGTACTAATCTCATCAATATCACGGGCTCTTCATATGATCTGATGTGTGACAGAGGAGCAGGCAGCAGCAGATGGGGATTCTTGTAGGCTGACTGTGCAGATTATACTTGATTTGTATTAAAGCTAGTTTGCTGTTTCCCAGGTGACGTTCACCATCGTTTAGTCCCGGACCCCGGTCAGATCAACGCCCGGACGCTGGATCTGTTAGTCAATGCTATCGCTATCAACAGCGCCTACACCTCCAAGATCCTAGTGAGTCACGCACACACAGACACACTGTTCTGGCTTTGTTATTCTCTTCAGGAGGCCTTGGTGCGTTTCCCTGCTTTATCTTAACTTCATCCTTTTCTTCTTCCTCTTGCCTCCCACATCTCCTTTCCTGACCTTCTCACTGCCTTAACCTACCACCCCAACTCGCTTCAATCTTACCCTGGATCAGCCGCCTGATGTGGAGGGGGGACTGGCTAAGCAGGTGGGCAACAAGACAGAATGTGGCCTGCTGGGATTTGTTCTGGACCTCCAGCGGGACTATGCCCATGTCAGAGAGCAGATCCCCGAGGAGAGGCTGTACAAGGTGGGCAAACACATCCACATCCACTAGCTTCAGTGAAGGTGTTATATACTGATATCTGATTTACATCCTGTAATCCATACATCCGCATATGTCCAAAAGTTGGTGATTAAATCAACTAAAGGCAATAGATACCCAGTGGTGGAAAGTAACTTAGTAAATGTTTGGCTCTAAAATTACTGGCTACTAGTTGCATGGATTTCACAGTAATTTACTGTAAGTATTTCACAGTAATTTACTGTAAATATTTCACAGTAATTTACTATATATATTTTACAGTAAATTAGAATAAAAGTACAACTAAATACTGTGACTTTACAGTTGCCATGCCCATGGAATTACTGTGATATAGCAGTACAGAGCTGTGGTAGTATGGTACCTTGCTGTACATAAATTACAGTAATTACCTGTATTTTCACATTATTACTGTAGAAGTAATGCAACACAGTAGCCAGTAATTTACTGTAAATATACAAATGTAAATAATACGATAATATATTCTAAATTTGACTAGTTAACTGGGATTTTACCATAACTACACAATTCAATCAGCTCAATCAACAGTACATTTATTTACAGTACAAGTACATTTCACAGTGTCTTGGACATGTTGTTACGGCTCCAACCTCTACTCCATGGTAGTGGCTCTTGCTGAGACCCGCAACATGAAATAAAACATGCAATAACCGGTACTTGGTAACGAGCATTTATTGATAATCAGCCGTTTGCTCACAAAAGCGAAACGGGAAACAAAAAGAGGTCTGGAGGACTGGCCAAAAGGAACAAACAGAAGGAGGGAACCCGAGCCAGCCACACCACGGACCGTAGGACCCAGAGCTCCCCCCCCAACCAGAAATCAAATATAAACCCTATGGGAAACAAAATAAAGCCGCAAAAACTGGACTACCAGGTGCTCCAGGCTAAACATAAACAAATCTGCAAAAATATGGCCTACAGCTCAAAATGGCAAAGAGGTATTCTAAGGAGAGTGTCTCCCGGCGTTAGGATAGGCGAGACATCCTTCTCCTCCAGCTTCTCTTTATATATACACGGCTGAGTGGAATTAGGAACACCTGGGCAGAGGCGGAGCCAGGGGCAGACCAGGGCCCTTTCTCATTTCTCTAACTCCCCTCCTCGACTCCCCTCCTTCACTCCTATCCTCGAGACTTAGTCCCGCCCACAGGAGATGCGAGCGGAGGAGCCGAGGAGGGGAGCCGAGGAGAGAGGAGGGGAAGCAGCANCACCTGGGCAGAGGCGGAGCCAGGGACAGACTGGGTGCACCTGTAGCAGGGAGACAAAGAAAACAAGGAGGGGAGCACGTAACACATGTCTACACAGACATCCACTCGAAGGCAACCATTTTTCTGAAGAATGTGCTGACATGGGGGTTTAAATTGCCATGCCTCTTTTTGGATTCGAGCCCTTCTCAGGGTTAATGCCCATGGAGCACCTGAAAACAATAAGCCAAGACAACAATTTCAATTTTACATAGATGTATATGTTTCCTCATTTATTTTAAGGCACATGCAGCGGTGCCCCTTTCAATTTAAGTAAAACCTGCACCAAAGAAAAAAATTAGTATTTAAAGCCAAGCAAGAGCGATAAAAGCAAGAAAATCACTTGATTTATTGTGTTATCACAGAGGATGGTCTGAATACAGTATTTTACTATGAAATAATACAGTAACATGTTGTGAAATCCTGGTAATAATTTATCTTGTACATTCACAGTAATTAACTGTGCCTGTATTGATTTCACTGTGAAATTCAAAATTACATTACATTATATTGTGAACATTACAGGTAAAGACTGTAAAGTGGTAAAACAGTAATTTATTGTAAAATATTACAGCTAAATATTTTGAAATCATGGTAATATTTTACAGTGTAACCATTAGCCAATAACCAACCAAGGTAACACCCCCCCCCCCGTATTCGCGTACGCGACGGTCCACCACTAGTCATCGTTGAAGATCGGGGTATGGAGTCGAAAGTCAAGGTGGGAGAGAATATCTAGTGGTGTACTCATGTTGTATCGGTTGTCCTGATGGTCGGTCTCCTCGGAGTCGCAGACGACGGCCGACTGCGTGCGTGGAGTTTCACTTCTGTCTCAGGTTACCTCTCATTAGCCAGGTGTCTTGACGAAGAGACCCTGTTCTCGTTTCAAATGAGTTTCCGGGGAGACGGAGCAGGAGACCCTGTTATCACGGACGGTATTTCTGTTGCCTTAGGTAGAAGAAGGACGAGACAACCTCACAGAAAACGCTTTTTCTTGAAGAGAAGTCTGTCAATAAAACAAGACGATAACCGACACCAGTTGTCACCATGG